TCACACTACTAAGAATGTAGCAGAATCTGACTAGAGGGCAGGAAGATAAGTCAAGCAGAAACACAGCCTTTGTCACATTATTCACCCAAATGAAATCACATTTGAGTGTGCGTATGTGTGTCTTTGAGAAACAGAGAGGGGATGCTGTATGTTAGAGAGCTGTGCATGAGTGTGTGAGTGTGACTGAGGGAGTGAGTGAAATTGTTACACAGTACATTAGGCCTGTTACCTAACGCTTGCCTTCCTGCCTGCCCTTTTCCTCCTGCTCATCCTTCTCTTGCCTAAAAAACACTGGCGAGGAAAGAGGGAGAAGACAGGAAAAGGAGGAAAGAAGAGTGGGGGGAATAAACGCCTGCCTCCCCGCGGATAGACAGACAAACAGACGGGTCAGGACGTGACGCACAGTGCCATCTTTTACCCATCTCGCTCACCTTTCCATGAGGACAACTAGAGAGGGTTTCTCAAAGTGCGTCTTTACTTGATCCTTTGTGGGGTCATACAAGGGCACCTGACCATACCACCTTTGTCGAAAGCTATTACACACAAGTATACACGCACAAACATGCAATTTAGTGAGCTTATCACACATGATAAACACGAACAAGGAAAAGACTGAGTTAAAATATCAACTCAAATATGAAACTGGCGTACAAGTGCACTGCGAAAAGCAAACAGTTACATACTGTTGAGATAACTAAGGAGGGCACTAACAGTCAACTATGTGACTGACAGTAACATCCTGATAATCATCTTACTGATGTAATCTATCATGACAGAAGAATGAAAACAAATGTATTACTGCTTAATATAGACACAGTTACATAATACAGACAAGATTACGGTCTTTATGTTGTTTACTGTTATTATGAAATGAATACTTTAAGCTTCCTTTTTCTAATTGATCAGATTCAATAAGAAATCTTTAAATAAAACTCTAGACTCTTGTGATCACCAATCATCATGTAATTATTAATCTGCAGTGACAGAGCCATGTTTGCTCCTGCCCTGCAGTTATTTAATCTGCTGCAAAGGGAAATCTGCAATATTAGCACTGACTATTTACCTAGTGGCCAATCAGGACTGAATAGGTTCCGTTTGCCTACACCTGACTAGTAGTGATTTTCAGTGACTCATATCAATTAATTGTGCACAGAAAAAAATTCCATTCAATGGCTGATAGGCTAGTTGCTGTGCAGTTGTGTGTAAGAGCGGTGCAAATATGCCATCTGTTATGGAAGGTGGCTACAGGATGTGAAATATCATCTCAAGAGAAGCCCACTTAACACGAGGTGACTACAGGCCTGATTAATAGTCTTTCAAATTGTGGGTTGGGGCCGACCTGTTCCAGATCCTCGGTCAACAGGAAAATAATTCTTTCAACAACTTGGCTACCTTTGTGAAGATGCAACTTGTGTATGAACACTTCTTTGCAGACTAATTCCTACATAACATTCCCACAAATTTCATAACATTTGAGTGTGTTTTTTGAAATTGTGCTGGAAACTCAGTAGGCATCTGAGTGGGGCACATTAACAACACTTGCTTTGACTAGGTTGCAACAACTATAGTCTATAGTCAAGAAAGATTAGTTGGCCAACTTTAAAAGCAAACTGCAAGAATTTCGTTATCTCTTTAAAAATGTTTGTAGTACATTAAGTGAAAATGCAGATGTATGTAAGGATTTACTGTTTGTCTCAGTTATATACAGTATCATTATAAATTAACTGTTTTGTCCAGTGATCTGATAAAGAAAGCAATTCGAGGATATCAATTTGGGCTTTGAGAATTGTGATGTGTATTTTGAGTTAAGTCAGCATGCATCTCATTCACTAATACTTATCATCATGTGTTGATATTAATCATTGGCAATGTTGTCACACCGTATACACCATGTCAAACAATAGATTATTTTACAGTGATAACATAAAATAAGATAACATGTTCATGTGCTGACATTTTTCACACTGCTTGGTGTCAACTAAGGCTACTACCTCATTTTTGCAAAACCAAAAATGAAAATGACAGAGAGCAAATCGGCCATTAATGCTACAGCTATAATTGGGGAAAAAATCAAAAAGATCAAAAACAATGATAGTTTGGTCATAGTCAATTGAGTTCCAGTAAGTATGAGAGCTACACCTGAAACAAGTGTTAACTGTTCACAGTGTAACCCTGAGCTAATAGAGAACTTATGCCCTTTGTTGAAAGGTCATGTCCAGCAATAAAGTTCATGGAGAGAGTTAACACTGAAATCAACATTTATCAAGACCGCAGCAACGTGTGACCCGACTGCCTCTAGCATAGCGTTTCTGTGAGTGTATCAAAACTCCAGTTGTGACTTCCACTGCACTGGCTGGCCTTTGTCAAGAAGAGGAGATGAACTTTCACTTTTACAACATCCATGTGCAGCACACTGTCATCAAAGGTTTGTGTTGTGTGACTACCTCCGTGTTAGCGAGTGTACACACCAACCGCCTCCGTGCTATAAAAATTTGCAAAATACCCGGTTGAAATGGTGGCGTGTATTAAGGAAGTAAAGTTTAAACAAATTGCCCGTTGAATGTTTTAGGTTTAACAAAACAGAGAGTAAATGAGGCATAGACAGGCACCAGCTCTTTCCCTCCTAGGCTACCAAATATAAATAACCAGGTCTGCTTCAGTGTGACTGCACTGCAGGATATCATCCAGCTCCATCGAACAAGTTGTTAGGCTATTTTTGACTAGTCAGCGTTTCTCATTGGATCGTTATGAAACCTAGGCCATAAAACAAGGCTCCAAAAGCACATTTCATCTGACTGATCATCATATCCATATTCATGATATCCACAGGCATGTAAAAGCACACTCCTATTCTTCTGATATTCATGAGCAACTGGGGGTGCTGAAACCCCTGTGCAGGCTGGTGAAAATCATGAGCTGACTGGACCGTCTGTGACCACCATCAACAGACAGCAAACAAGGGCTCTCTTTCATTCTGCCAGTCCGTGGTCCACTGTCATTTTGTCCTCTGCCTGTCTCTCACACTCAGTCAGACAGCCAGACACAGCCACACACACACATCCAGGCAAGCATAAACAGGCTCACACACAAGGAGTAAAGCTCAATAACCAGCTCATCAATCTCTCACTATAACGTTGCTACTGTCTTTGCTCTCGTAACAGATTGAACACACTGTTCCTCTACCTATTAGTCTGTGAATTACATTATAGTCTCCTGCAGCATTGAAAAACACTACATGGCACTTACTGAACCAAGTTTATTTTGGCCTCGTGAAACTAAATGGAAGGTTCCCTAGGCTGTGTGGCGCAAAGCGCCCAAATGACTCGTGTCTGCCCGACTGTGTGTATGTCAACAAGGGCATAGAGGTAAAGCTGTGCACTCAGCTGACTTGACACACCTTCATTTGTGCCTTTAGAGTTAAAGGCTCTTCATCAGGTAAAAAAAAAAAAAAACTATTATGTGGCAGGAGCTGACTGTAAGCGTAGCCTTCAGCTACCCGTATTTGTTATGACTGTTCAACTGAACATTTATTATAAGGGATGTGCATACTGATCACAATAGTCATATGATCAGAGGTAGGATTCCCATGTCATCAAATTGAAAGTATGGTCCTGAGTAGAGGCTCTCAAACTGACTGGAAATCAAGTGTCTTGTAGCAGAAATCTTACTGATGCTGCCGATTTGTGATTCATTATTGGCCCCTATGGACTTTCACTACCATGCCAGACAAGACGATACAGCCAACATATCAGGAATGACAACAAACGGCTCACAGGCAAATAAAGCCTTGAAACATCGAGGCACGTGTTTCAATAGGTCAGCACAACGGGAAAACACTACTTGGAATATATGAGTAATCACTTCTACTTGTGTTCCCCCCAGATTTCCCCTATAAATCATAAAGGTCCAAACCTATTGTTTGCCGTACAGTGTTCACGTAACAAGTCAAGTGTCACCACCAGTTATGGATTTGTAACACAATGCAACACATCTCCTCATAAAGAATGATAGAGTTTTGTATAAATACCATTTGTTGATAATGTCTGCTGGTGAAAGTGTCCATCATCCAGTATACTGTTACTGGGCGCCCACTCAATGCAACATCATCTACTTACACTCAAAGCGTGTGGTGGCAGCTTTGAAACCACTAATTTTGCCATGTCAGTGTTTTCTTGTCCTCAAAGCTTCATGGAAATGTCATCTACCTATTAACTGGGCTATCTTAACATCAAAAAATTGGTACATTACAACGCTTTATACATAAATGATAGACAGGTTACGTTACTCCACGACAAATGGATATATCATAAAGACGTGAGAAACTTTCCTAACACTAAATTATACAAGCAAACCCATCCTCAGTCAACCTAGATGGATTAAAACAGCTAACAAGAACGTTACAGTCTCTGCCTCTGCCATAGTTGGCTTTAACCACTTTTCAGTGATACTTTTAATTTCACAGAGAGCTATAATACTTGGACAACCTACGTCTATCAACTTGGGAAGTTCGTTGTTAATTTAAAGTTATACAGACGAGTGCTACACACTTTCAACCTTGTGTGTTGGCATGTCTAAAAGATATCTGCATCTAGCCGAACAGCTAATTAGCTTGTAAGCTAAGCTAGCTACTACAGTCGAAACGTTCAGTGTCTCTTTTTCATCTTCGTCAATACCCTTCTCTCCGTCCTCTGCGCTTTGCCACACATTAACGTTAACCTCAGGCCTTTCTAGCTTCCCTCAAAAACACTACCGGTAAATGTACGTTAAATCCGATTTATCTTGAGGTAAATGTGTTTGTATCCAGTAGTTGGAGGTGATGCGCCGTGTCGAGCGGACCCCCCCAGCACCGAGCAGCGGTGTCACCAAAGCGGGCTGGCCGTTGTGTCTCCAGAGCCTGAAGGCCCCAGCGTCAACCCGAGTACATGGCCGAAAAGGCTTGAAATTAAACAATGACAACTTGTGATTGTTCGCCGCTAACGCTCGGACATCAGCCGTCTTACCTTCGCTTTGGTAATGATGTGTGTGGCTAGTTTAACAACCGCGAAATTTCCTTTGCCGATGGTCCGCTCGATTTCGTAGTGGCCCACTCGGGCTGGGGGGGGCCTGGTGGCCGAAGTGTGGCCAGGATTGGTGATGCACCCGGTGGCCGTGCTGGGACGGCTGGAGTGGCTGATCCCGGAGGATGGCTGGGCTCGGTTCTGGGAGCCCATGCCTGCGTGGGTCGGTCGGGCAGAGTGCGTAATCCCGGCCGCAGCGGACCCAGCAGCACCTCCGCTTGACACGGCCGCCATCTTCTCGCCTCTCTGCGGTAACAACAAGCAGCCTTGCGCAGCGCGCATCACGGGCACGCCCCCGCCCTGCGTCATTTTACGTGAACGCTCCTCCGCAGCGCCCTCTCTAGGTTGTAGCCATGGCAACGATCGGCGTAACAAATGACTTCATCCACAGAAACGTATTGTGGTTGCCTTGGCGACAAAGAAGTGCGCATTATCACACTGGTTCCCATGATTCAGTGATTCTTTGCAAACTGCTGCACCATGTATGAGCAGTCGGGTCCATGAAGCTTTAAAGGCATATACCTCTTTAACACTGCAATGTCAGATTTAAATCACCCAGTAGATAAAAGCAGACATTATCAAGAAGCTATATTACACTCCATCATCACTCAGTCCACAAAGAAATGCCTACACTAGTCTATACAGCGGTCGATTCTGCCAGACAAATCATGGGCATTTATGATGCTCGTGCACACCCTGCTCTTATGAGTCAAAGCTTAATATTTCCATTTACTAAAATGCTACCTACATCCTTAATGTACCCACATACTGCTTTCAAAAAGCGTCCATCTCATTGGTACATGTCACTATGTGTGCTGAAATGTGGCCCAAAGGTTCTCAACCAGTTATTTATTTTATTTTGGATATTGGACAGATATCAGTGCCGTTTCAATGACACAATATCAATGTTTTTCCCCAAGAGGCCCACCTTCAGGCTGACTACTACTATTGGTGTACATCATGATTTAAAAACGTACTAAATAGGGTCTCACTTACTTTGATTGCTGATGCGTTACACTTATTTTTAATATTTAAATATTTTGATAGAAAATAATGACAGTTTTCTTTTCAGTAGCCTCCATGAAATATGACCCAGTGACTCCAAATCAATACCAGAAACTACTAATACACTGGAGACATAGGACACACCTCTTCTTGGCAGAAATCGGTGCTTCCTAAATCTAATACAACTGTAACTCTATTACACTCTAATCACCAGGTTGTAGACAGCACCACCCCATGGCAGAGAGGAGTTTCTGCATCCTCTTACTCAAAACTGGATTACCAAAGCAAAGCAGGTATCTGCCCTCAGTCCAAGGACCCCAGGGCCCCAGGAAAATCAGGTTCACCATCCTCTAGTTGGCTTGAGTGAATCTGATTGTCTGGAATTTTATTTTGGTGTATGTAATATGTAATCCAGAGGGAGCTCAGTGGAGAGCTGCTGCTCCTTTGCATTGAAAGGGGTCAGTTGAGGTGGTTTGGCATCTGATCAGGATGCCTCCTGGAGAGGTGTTTAGAGGTGTTCTGGGCATGTCTCACTGGTTGGAGGCACCGGGGCAGACCCAGGACACGCTGGAGCGACTACATATCTCCTTTGGCCTGGGGAGGCCTCGGGGTCCCCCAGGAGGAGCTGGAAAGTGCTGCTGGGGAAAGGGATGACTGGAGTGCTTTGCTTGGCCTGCTGCCACCACAACCTGGTCCTGGATAAGCAGATGAAAATGGATGGATTATGAAATCAGCTGAATTCTGTCACTAAAAGCAGGCCCTGCATTATCTAAATTCAAGGCCACAGTTGGTGGGCTTGCCCTGTGTCAAATCAATTTTGAGGAAACTTTGTTCATTTTCTTACATGTGTTTAAACAAACCCACTGACAAACCAAACCTGCAGTCAGGACGTGCTCCAAGTAATGGGAGTAACTAGCAAAGGAGTACTTGTTGGTTTTAGGGGGTTCTAGGGAAAATATAATGAACTGCCATTATTGTCTGCTTTGCCTCCATTTGAAGAGTCAATTTGCAATTCAATTAAAAGTATTTAAAACATCCACATAATTTTCCTGTTGATTAACTCAAAATAAAAGTTATATAATAAAATAAAAGTTTATTTTATTTTATCTTTTTTTTTATTACAGTTTTTTTTATAATTGAACATTTAGAGAACATACAAAAGCATACACAAAGCTATATCTCATAGAGGATGCCCATGAATTGCTGTCCTTTCTGTCTATTTTCATGTGAAGCACTCAGTGCTTATACTGCCCTTATTGTAAAGCACTTTGTGCTGGATTTCTTGTATGAAAGGTGCTATATCCTCCTGAGACCCCAAAATCCCAACGTCCTCAAACGAGTACTTCCTAATTAACAGGCCTTAGCTTGTTGCTGTTGCTAAAGTTGGTCAAATTTGTTGTCATATCAAACAACAATCATAAACAAACAAGTTTTGACCATAAAATTTGATCAAGTTTTTCATCGTGTCCACTTTTGTGTATGAAATGGCTGCCATCTTGTTTTTACATGGATTAGAGTGAGGTATAATGTGCAGCAAACCCAGAATGTCCTCATATGAAGACACTGGGTGTCAGGAGGATATAGATAAAGTGTCTTCTTTTTTTCCCACTTTATTCGTTTCCACATTGAAGAAAACATATTCAAAAATACAGGAAAAAACTTTTTCTTTTCTTTACCACCCCCTGAAAGCAAACAGTCAGTTAAAATACATAAAATTCAGTATAGAATAATAATGTGCCCCCATATAAATAAGGAAACAACAATAATATACAAAGTGTGTGTATGTGTGCACACATGCCTGCTATTTAAAGTTCTGCAGCAGATGCTGAGAACCAACAGTACTACAACCTTACAGCTGATCAGGCAGATATATAATAAAAGGTGGCCTTATACTATCAAAACTGTCCTTAGGCCCTCATACAGCAAACCTTATCTTTTCTAGCTTCTAAAATTGTAATGTATCTCTGACCCAATGTCAGAGAGGGGGTTGCCTGCTTCCAATCAAGTAATTTAAGTCTTCTGGCTGAAAGGGTGACATAGACAATGCAATTTGACATTTCATTGTACCTTAGGAAGGTGACTGTCTTCCAAGCATTTTTGGAAAGGGCTTTAAAAATTCTTCTCATTCTCCTAATTTTTTATCATAGTTTTTGATTTTTTTTTTTCTGAATTAACAGTCGAAGAATCACTTTACAAATCTTACTAAATTCTCGATGACAACAAATAAAATTCTTCTTATCTACAAAAGTTTTATTCACCATTTCATTTCACCATTTAGTCACCATTGCAGCCCATTAAATTAACAGACCGTTTTATGCAGTCTGTGGTCGCACAGGGCAGAGACATGACGTCATGACGCAATGACGTCACTCTCAGTTTGTTTACTGTCTGAGAGCGTGGAGGGGGGGCGCTAGTGTCACAGATTTTTCACATTGTAAACACGCTCAATCTCCACTGACCCTCCGCACGAGAAACACTTGCACAATGTCGTGGCTCCGTGGACACAGGCCGTGACAACTGCTCACCGTGGACAGACTTGAAAAAACACCTCGTGCCCCGTGTTATATGTTTCTAACACGAACCGCGGCGCTCGAGCTCAGATATCAAAACATGGAGCTGCGTCCTAACCAACGATGCTAACGTTAGCACAGCTAGCTAACGGCTCTCCAGGCTTTGAAATGAAGCGGAATTGAATATCGTTTTCATCTTGTTGTCTCTGAACTTGTGTTTTTGTGTGCATAGCTGACAGCTTTGACTTTATTACGGGTGTCAACAGGACGAGGAGGACATTTTAAGTTAATGTAAACACCTCTGTGTCTCTTTAGCTCGTCCGCTAGCAGCTGCTGTTATTGTTGGGTTTACGTTAGCTGGAAGTGGCACAGTTTCGCTAGCCAGCTCACTGAATGGGGTGGAGTTGTCATCATTAGTGTTGCCGCACAGGCTAGAATAACGTTGGGTATCAGTTCCACTTTAAAGGAAGACGGTGTCAGACAAAATGGTGTTGAGGAGTTGCTGGAAGTCTCGACATAAAAACAGCTGTGGACCTGCTCCTGGTTGGATCTGGCCAGCATCGGCAGCCCTGCTCTGGTTGTGTCTGACCCAGTTTGTGTGCGGGTGTGGTGCTGTTGGGGAGACCAAAAATGTGGTCCAGAAAGATGCAGAGTTTGATGTCATCTATAATGACACAGTGACAAGTGAAAACCAGACCATCTATGCTTTCAATCACACGGTGTCCAGGAATAAGGTGAGTACATTGTCAGGGTGGTTTATTTGCTTTTCCTCTTTATAACATAAAGTATTATTGACTTGAATATGATCTTTTCTCTGTTTGTCTTCCTCTGGGTGTCAGACGGAAGGAGTGCGTGTGTCTGTGGATGTGTTGTCACAGGGTTTTGAAAGTCCCATCCTGTTTGTGGTGCGACAGAAGCAAGCAGTGCTGTCTTTTCAGATCCCTCTCATTCTAAGAGGCCTGTGAGTATCCCCACTTTACACACACTAGCTGTACACTGGATTCATCTGGGGGCATGAAAAAAAAAAACTCATGTAGACTGTGTTTTGGTCATTCACTCTCCTAAACCCACCTACTCAGCTTCCACCAGTCCTACAACATCACTCTGAAACACTTCTGAACTCAATCCAGCAATTTGTTACCTGTGATGACTAGCATAATACGTCATTGCCCTCTGCTTGACATAGCAACAGCATATTAGCCAAAATCCCTTGAGGGCGCAGCAAGTAATATGCTACGAGCAAGGCTGAGATCAGTCTCTACCAGTATGCATGATGTTTTGTGTAATAGAGAATGTGTCTTACTTTCTAGCCCACTGTATATGCTTCAAAGACCTATTCAAAAACAGGATATGAAGATGATTATGGAATATACGGCTTCCCCAGTGGCCCACGATGAATGCTGAACATACCCTAATGAGTCATGTTCTGTGGTTTGTGATTGTTGGAATCAGCAACTACTCATCCAGATGCTGGAATTCAAATGCGATGTGATCTGCACAGTCCTCCACAGAGAATTAGTAAGGAAAGGGAACACATTAGCCATAGGTACAGATTTAGCAGTATGTCATGACATTTTGTCACAGTGCCTAAACCAACCACATCAAGTCTTCTCAACACTGAATTGGCTTGTGACTCAGTGTTTGTACAAGGCCTCTATGTCCTTGTAACCAACTGCACACATCCAGACTGTACATAAAGTAATAATCCAAGGTTCATACTAGGGAGTGTCTGGCTGTTGCTCCTGTAGATAGTAAACAGTTATGACTTCAGGTCATGCAATGAAGCTAATGTTCTTGTTTGGTGTAGATACCTGCGTGTGAACCTTCGTAGCAATAACAGACTTGTGAGAGAAGGAAAAATGTAAATTCTAGCTGTGCTTGTTGTCGAATTAATTGTAGATGTGGTGGAGAGATATTTTAAGATCTGAGATCCAAGATCAGATTTTTTCTAGGAGGTACTGCATTTCAGGAATGTCTCTTTGTTTCTCTACCATGCTCTCTGTTGAAAACCAGACTAAACTCACACTCATAACTGGCACTGCTGCAAAAATCATCGGTCTTCCCACACCCAACCTCACTGAACTTAATAACAGGGCCATCACACGTATCACAACCTCAATAGAACAGGACTCCACACACCCACTAAACGAACGTCTTGCCCTGCTGCCCTCACGACGCAGGTATAAACTGCTGAGGTGCAGAAGGGCTCGCTTCGGGAAAGCCTGATTCCCACAGCCATAGTTGCTCTGAACAACAGGCCCTGTTGATTGTGTCATGTTTATATGCTGTATATATGTCATTGCTTTTTGTGTGCTGCTCGCCAGTGTGATGTGTTCTGATGGTGTCAGTGTTTGTGTGTCATTGTTTTTCATGCTGAGTCCAACAAGTACGGTGCTGTGGAAAAGAATTCCCCCTTAGGGACAATAAAACCTAACCTGACCTTATGCCAAAAAGGTTGTGTTTGGAGTTCCTGCAATAAAAGCCATACATCTTAAAACAAAGTTGACGGTAGTAAAGTTTAATAGTGACAAAACATAGTTAATTGTGCATACGATGGCTTGATATCACAGTCCACATTCACGGTACATCCTCTGTAGCCTACACATAGTTGCTCAAACGTCATACAGAAAGCCATCATTATGGTGCATTCAGGGACGGTAGTTTCATGGGAGAACTGGTGCAATTGTAGCTACACTTTTTTCTTAAACTAAGGAGTGGCTATGGGAACAAAAATACACACATGTAATGGTATTTCAGTCCAAGCATTTGATATTTGTACAAACAGTTTGTGAATAATAGTTAAGTGTTTTCTGGTTTTTACAAAGGTGTTGAGTGTGTGACATATGTCCAGTTCAATGGTACATAATAAATGCACAGCTGAGATGATGAGACTTCAGCAAGGCACAACCATATTTTACATAATTCTAACAGTTTTTGAAATATATCCAGATAAAGTGCAGATTTGCATATCATAGAAGACTCAACAATCAGTCCAGGCAAATGTCCGTGCTCTCAGAGCGCCCTTCGAGTTTGGAGATGTAATATATATGTTGTATGTTGCCATCTGCTAGAATTACAGTCTTTATTTCTTTCTTGGGAGGAGTAAGCACTAAGGTCAGCTGTTGATGTACTCTGTGGGTAGAAAACCGAAACTTCTGCAGCCTTTATGCTCTGGTTTTATCTTGGTGGTTAAAGGGCACACAGCTTTTGTAATCTGACTTAGTCAAGTGGGATTTCATAACAGGTTAGAAGTTCAGCTGTTTATAAGCCCATTGGCTGAGATCTGTGTCTCCCACACTCCAAGGTACTCTCTGTGTTTGTGCAACACAAGCATTACCTCGCCATAGTCTTGCCATTGCAGTCTCGTGGCCAGGCATGTTTTAACAGATCACTAATGAACCTTGTACTTTCACATCCTCCTCTGAGATCCCCAGTGCAGATCTGAAGAGCCCAGATTACTGTAAATGAGCTGCCTAGAAGTCCTGAGAGCAAAGTTACTTCTGTTTTATGTAGATCCTTTCACATGAAGTCTTTAAAAGAATCCACTTCTATGTTTTGAGTTATCGCAACATTTTCTAGAGCGGGGTATTTACTGATTTTGACACACTATCTGGCTAGGTCATCTGATTCTGATTCTCAAACAGCAGTCTGTTGTGTGACACGTCTGTCTATTTGCTTAGATTCTTTTCTTAATACAATCATTCCTTGCTGCATTTGAAGTATCTTTATTCTGTGCTATGGAAAACAGCTTTAAAAGAAACAAAATTAATATAATTGGTCAGTAAATACAAACCCCTTTAAATGGTAACTTGAGCTCGCCTGTTCTTTCTGTCTCAGTTTGTCAATCTTTGTCTTTCTGTCTCTCTGTCTCTCTCCAGCTACCAGAGGAAGTACCCTTACAATCACGTGGCCCGGACACTGTGTCAGCCTCCGACCCGAGCCGCCTCTGAGACCCAGTACTTCTTTGTGGACGTGTCTACTCTGTCTAGCCAGGGTACAAACTACCAGCTCAGGGTCAGCCGTGTTGAAAGCTTCACCCTGCAGTGAGTGATATCTCACATAATCACACAAATGCAAAGTGCAGTAGGTTCCTGAACCGTCAGATGAATGCATTTACCACTGAGCTGGGTTTTATAGCAACCAAAAGCTGAGTTACTGGTATGTCTGACTTGTTATCTTCACCTTGATTACAGGACAGACAAGCGGTTCATCTTCACCGCGTCACCATCTCAACCTCAGGTATTACAGCCCGATACCAAACCTTGGTGCATTGATAACTACAGTAATAAGTGCCACATTACAACAAGGATGTTTTGTCACAGACATGTAGTCAGCAGACAGAGAGTAGACGAGAAATCTGAGAGAAGCTGAGGAAAGTACGAGTAAGAATGCAGAGAATTTCACATTTTACACAATTATGCAGTTCTGCTTCTAACAAGGAAACATGGAAAAAGGGAACTAACTTGTGTTTCCTCGTTGATCTTTTGTAGCAAATCTTGGAAAACCCAACGACTGTACATAAAGATGAACGACACATCTCCATTTCCTCCCATTGTACAAAAATGGAGCATCATCATTTAGAGCCAGAGTCTGTGTAGTAGCGATCTCCGTAGTTTTGGGCTCATTCAAGGGGCCATGCCTGCATAGATTTGATCAATCGCCGCACAATGCAAGCCGGTTAGAAGTGTGTCCGACTTCACCCAGACTTGCTCTGACGTCATACAAAAGCAGACAGCGATAATCTCACGAGAGTGAGGCAGCCGCAGTTTTTAGTGGTAATTTTTAGTTTTTAGAGCCAGGCGCTGCAGTCGCTCTCCACTGATCGCAAAGTCCAAGGCACGATGGGAAATGCTTGTAAAGCTTGAAATGCCTGTAAGACATTTTAATAGATCACTCTGTCATAATTAAAACAATTTAAGATTGAGAACAAACTGATGTATGAGTCTGATAACATTTTAATTATGGACATCAGATCTGACATGTTGTGAGTGTTTCTGTAACTTCCTGTACAGACTGAAGGCTGCTTGAAACTGTCAGGAAACTGCCCGACTTGACCGCTGTTTTTTGTCACAGCGTCCTGCTGCAGCCGCCTGATCTCGTCCACTTTCCAGGCAAAGTGCAGTCAGGCTCAAATGAGCCAGTCAATCGTGAGCAGTGTCATTGATTGCGAGCACACCGTCAATCATGTTGTCACACCTCCTTGTTATATTATTAAATAACATGTTATAACCAAATTAACACCTCAGTATACATCAGTGTGATAAGAACTACCTGGAATGACATAAACTATCTTTGGGGAAAATGTATTTTGAGTTTTAGTTAGGCCCGTGTCCCATCCGCTAACATGGCGGGTACAGGGTTTATGATCTGTGATCCAGTGATCCACCAGGGGACCATCGAGATGTTTCGGCTTCACTTTGTGGGAGCTGTCATGTAGTCCATCTTTATTATACAGTCAGTGGATAAAACTAGTAAACACTCATGTCACCCAGCACTTCAATTTATCTTCTTTTGTTTCATTGTGGAAATCGTCACACCTCCTGCAAGCAGTATGCAAGATCATGAAAAAGACAGGAAACAGACAGAAAAAGGATTTGATCATGCCTGGCCTGTGTTTTCTTATCCTATTCCCCCCGAATGACTCCCTTCCTAGATCCTTATCTTTCTTCCTCTTCTTTCTGTTGCCCTTTCTCTCAGTACTTCAAGTATGTCTTCCCAGATGGGGTGGACACTGTGATCGTCAAGGTCAACTCAGACATGGCCTTTCCCTGCTCCGTTATGTCCATCCAGGACATCCAGGTACGCTTCCTCCTCCTCCCTATTCCTTCAAACCAGACAGCTGCTGTCCTTAAGTCGCCCCAGCGTTGCTGTCAGCATGCAGTAACCCCACTGGGCCACATGAGGGCATAATTACGTTCATTGCAAGAGTGTCAGTGCCGTAAAAAGCAACCATTGTCAACTGTATGATGATCTGAGAGGATTAAAATTGAGATTTTATACCTTTTTTAATCCTTTATTGTTTAATGCTTGCTATCACTGTGTTCTTTTTATATAGTCCTCTTGTTCCCTCTTGATTTGAAACTTGTAATCCTTCATATTTCTCATTCATTTTTGCTCTCCGCCTCGCTCTTTATTTTCAGTGCCCAGTCTATGACCTTGACAACAATGTGGCCTTCATTGGGATGTACCAGACTATGACCAAAAAAGGCGCAATCACTGTGCAGGTAGCGTTTGACACATGCTTACATGCATGATTTGGAACCTTTGTGGCATAGCATACAGTATAGACTCCTCCTCACCACATATTGTATCTTCTAATATCCCTTTCTGTCACTTAGAGAAAAGATTTCCCCAGCAACAGTTTCTATGTGGTGATCGTGGTAAAAACAGAGGACGAGGCCTGCGGTGGTCCACTGCGCTTCTACCCGCTCCGTCCTGATGAGCTGATTGACGCCGGCAACCGAAGCAAAGTCATCGATGTGATGGTCACTCCAGCTATCAACTGTAAGTCACATGTTTACAAATGTGAACTGTTCAGACTGACGTATAATCCGTACCGAATAATCTGTGTCAATAGGCTGACAGTGTTGCTGTCTTCACACTCCACAGCGGAGGTATACGTGATGGGCATGCTGTTCTGTCTGGGTATCTTCCTCTCCTTCTACCTGCTCACCTTCCTCATGGCCTGTCTGGAGAACAAGCGGTAAAATATAGCACTTTTTTCTGCCCGCAAAACAGTTAGTTACCGCATCAACTTTATATACACAAGCTTGTTTCACTGCTGAGATATTTTGTATCTGTGAAACCTTTGTAGTAATGCTCACACAGTATCCCCCCCTGTATCTGTACCCACACACAATCCTTATTACAGTAGATAAGGCCACAGAGATGATTTAATTAAAGGGACAGTTCACCCTAAAATCCAATTTCTTCACACCTGTCGTGTTATTTATCAGTCTCGATTGTTTTTTAAAGTGTAGATATGTCTGCCTGCTCTCCAATATAATGGAATTAGATGGCACTTAGATTGTGGTGTTCGAAGCCAAGGTAATCCACAGACCTTGTTGTGAGCAGTTTCACGTAGTAACTGTTTTCTTTCTACCGCACCTCACCCACCAATTGTATCACTGTGTGCATCTACAGCTAGCTCACCTAGGACCACTGAGTTAGCTAATGTTACAGCTCAGCTGAGGAGGACGCCACTAATGTTTACATCTCACACTGTCACAAGCACAAGCTTCTTGCCAATGAGTAGATGCACGCTTCCTTCTTTGCAGTGATACCATTGGCAGGTGTAAAGAGGTTAAAAAGGAATGGTCCGACATGAAACTGCTTTCTTTTTTTTTTTAATGGTTTTTTTTTTTTTTTTTTTTTTGGTGCTTTAAGCACCACAATCCGAGCGCCGACTAGGTCCATTACATTGGAGAGAAGGCAGACATCTCCATAGCCGATATCTCAAACACTCAGAAACTCACACCAGATTGATAAATAGCACTACAGAAAAAAAAATATTTTTGATTTTGGGGTGAACTGTCTCTTAAACCTATTGCAAGTTCACAATGTTCAAACTTTTTATTGGTCCAAGTTCAACTCAGAGGTTTGGATGTCTAATCAAAGACTGACAACTACACAGCTGCACTACCACAACAACAGCGCTGCACTGAATACAAATGATTTTAATTAGCATGTCTCCTGTTTCTGCAGGATAAAAAGGAGAGAGGTGTTTCAGATTCCTGCTGACATGTCGCCTGCTGAGACAGGTAACCCAGCAACTAGCTATGATGGACTGGCCCATTAGGGGCTCGTTAGAGGGTGTGTAGAGCATACCATCTTCTTCAAGTTGTGAACCCGTACTGTAGACTACATGCCATAATATTCTGTATATTCAATGTTTAGCTACACTTAACATGCAGTATAATAATTAACTCTTAAGCCTTTTTAATGTAGAATTTAACATGTATGTGTGTACTTAATGTGTGTCTTTCACTCTCTCTCCCTCATGCTAATGTGTGGTACAGCCTCCCTGCTTGGGAAGAACGGAGATGGTATAACGACACTGTTACTCCTATCTTGCACTTACTGCCCTCTTTCACACAGTGTTGCTCGTTTGCAGATGCTCTGCATTCACCACCTCACATTCTGTAACTCTCATTACATTCATAGAAAGGACAATAAGGAGATGTGATTGTCTGTAGTGCTTCATGTGAGTGTGTCGTAACATAAATGTGGTACTTTTTCAAGACTGGTGAAGCTTTAATGGCTTGCATCATAGAGATACAGACACATGTGACTCACCTGGTTACTTGTTAGGTACCGCTTACCACAAAGCGCTGCTACTCTCCTGGTATTGTGCCTGTATCTGTCATAGTGGTGTCCTCCTACTTCTCCTCACAGCTATATTGTTTGTTGGCTGAAGAAACATGTTATAGTCAATAATGCTAAGGACACAGTAGACAAACCAAAGCATGAAATAGAAGTTTCATGAAACCATAATGTAGATAATCTTTGAGATAAATGTGAGCTCTGCTGATGTGGTTCTTCAGCTCAAGACTGCCTCTCAGTGTGTGTCTGTCTGTTCGCTGCAGTGTGTGCTCACATGATTTGATTTGGAAACTGCAGTACACTTGCAGTTTTCAAACAATTCACTCTCACTGCAGCAGTCACCACTCTTCACAAGAAACCACCTTCTGCACCATCCCTCACCACCATTCGCTCAGATAGGGCTGGGCCATATGGAGAAAATCAATTCAGAAAATCTATTGATGTTGCGACAGTATTGTAGTGTTGACGATGGGTGCTTACACAAAATATTCACACAATGGGATTTTTGATAATAAACAGGACTCACGATACGGTATTATCATGATACTTTTATCACAATATTTTTTTTGCTATATTGCGATATGCTGAGTATTGCGAAACAATATATTGTGATATCCAATTGCAAATTATTTCCCCAAAGAAAAACTTTGTCAACATCAATTTTATCTCATAAGATCAAGTTTACAGTCAGGTCATCTGACTTATATCATTTTTATTGCAGGAAAAGGTGATGCAAAGCAGACAGACTGACCAACACCATCATAACACCTGTCAGAAATGTTGCATACACCTGACAGACTGAACTGTGGGCTGATTTTAACGCCCTCACACACAACCCCCATTCTTGTATTGCATTTTGCAGGAGGTCTGCAGTGAACATGAGACAGCAGTCTCCAGTCCTCTGAGATAATGTTCCGTTATAGTCACATATGAATCCACTGACCTTGAAGTCCGGGTGTCACAGGTTAACGCCACCCTTCCTGCTGTACGAAAAGATTCATCAGCTCTATGCTTCACTTCTCTGTAGAGCTTGGGTACGGCTGTGTTGGTTTAGAAATGTCGGGACGGAGTTACATAATAAATAATAATAATAACTTAGACTTATATAGAGCCTTTCAAGAGACCCAAGGACGCTTTACAACAACAAAAATAACAATCTAGCAACCAAAAGCCAGGGTGAACAGGTGTCTTTTCAGTGCAGATTTAGAAATGTCCAGTGTTGGCGCCTGGCGAATCTCCATGGGGAGAGTTCCAGAAGGTTGGGGCTGCCACACTGAAGGCTCTATCCCTGAATGTTCGCCTACTGATGTGAGGGACGTTGAGGAGACCCAAGTCAGCAGACCGCAGGTTCCGTGAGGGGGTGTAATCAGTAAGGAGGTCCGATAGTTACCGTGGGGTGAGGTCATGGCAAGCTTTATAGGCGAGGAGGAGGAATTTGTAGGTGACAGAGTGCATTTAACATGCAACAAAAGCCTTCATTTTCAACAACGCTGTATAGACGCAGATCTTTGCACATCGAGTCAGTGATGGACTTTGTTATTTTCTACGCTCTCTAAGAGCCGGATGGTAGTTTCGATACAATATCACCACGCAAAACATCACGATACTATGCTGTATATAAATATGTTTTCAATATATTGCCCAGCCCTAATTTCAGCTCTATTATCGACACGTTTTGAACCTGAAGAAAATGGATCCCTGCATGTATGTTTGCTAGGGCTGCACGATACTTTGTAAACTTTTCATTAAATTGTCATTGGGATGTCAACTTGTGCGATAAACACATTGCAAAAGACAGCAATATCGCACACGTTTTTTTTTTTTTAGTTTTGTTTTCGGTTTAGTTTGTTCAATACCTCATACCGTGCAGCCCTAGTTGTTACCTCCCTCACCTTGCTGTGTTCATGTACTAACAGTTCAGCTGCAGTGGTGTTTCAGTGTGCAGTGATAAGATACTAACAGGTATTGGTTGTAGTGGTGCATCTCTGTGTGCATTTTGTTAACCTGTACTCACTGTGAGTGTGTGCATGTCTCCACAGGCAAAACTCCAGCCTCACCATATGAATATGGCTCCTTTGGTGAGTTTTGGATAATTCTGTTTATTCTTATGTCTTTCTTTGTGTGCAGATTAAATTAAATAACCTTCTGTCCTTCTCTTTTTCACCAGCTGACAACGGCAGCACTCTCAGCTCAGAGGCCGTCACTGACAGCGCCACATCCACTGACAACAACTATGGATACATGGGTATGGACAAGCTTATTGGACGCGCACATTTTCTTGTGGTCCACCGCTGTTACTTTGCAGTATGTCTCCACAGCCCGGTTTGCAGCGAGCATCCTGCGAGCAGCTCTGGTCCCTCACTGGTTTTTTTGTGTGTCTTCTCTGTTCATCAGGACAGGAGCCTTTCAAACGTCGCACAATCCTCAATCACCTGCACCACATAGCCATCCGCATCGGTGACATGCTGCCGCATAATTGTTTGAATCAGTTCAGGGTCGCACCAAACCAATCAGCATGTGGGGATCATCAATGAGACTTAGATGTTGATGCCAGGAAGTGGCCAGATTCCTAATTGGACTTAATTGGAATGAACAGCAAAACGATATTGATATTGAAGCAACAATCAAAGTGCCCGCAATCATTCTAATATTTCTGTTTTTAAATGTTTAAAAATGGCAAAGAAATTCTAAGAGGTGTGATGTGTTTGAACACCTTAGTGTCATTTAAAGAAAATCCTTTAAATCCAGACGTCCGTCTAAGTGATTAGACTGCCCCTCCAGTGAATTAAAAAGCCTCTTTCCTTTGTTCTTCCATGACCTCCTCCTCTTCCTCCCTCCATCAGAGCGATCATTGGACAGTGTGGGGCGAAGCAGGCAGGAGTCTCTGAGCTCTGTGGAGGAGGACGACTACGACACGCTGGATGACATCAACTCAGACAAAAACATCGTCCGCACCAAGGTACGCCTCTGTCTCTCTGTCTCAGTACACAGCACTTGTTTTTATGTCTTCGCGCTGGTGACAGGTTGTCCATGCATCCGCATGTCTGTCTATCCATTGATCTCATTCTTGTGAATGCAGTATCTCAAGAATGTCTCGAGGGAATTTTTGCACAAATGTTCACTTGATCTCAACAATGAACTGTCACTGTGACCTCAAAAAACACATTTTTGGCCTTAGCTCAAGAATTCATATGCTTATTATGACATAGGTCTGGGCCATATGGACAAAAATTCATATCTCAGTATTTACAGGCTGACTGGCGATACACAATATATATCTCGGTATTTTCTACGAAATGAGCTACATGATTTCATTTGCAAGTTTAAGCCACATTTGAGATGTCACAAGCAGTTTGTAAAAACAGACTGTGATCGAAATAAAATGCACAGACAGGGTTTTTCCCCCTGTTAGAAAATATACAGCTTCACAACATATAAATGAAAAGTTATCAAGTTATCATAGTTATCAAATAGAACTAAATCTGCTGTAGTTTGGAACAATTAAAAATCTTTGTGGGGGGAGTTAATAAGTCATTTTCCATCTGTTGGCCTCTCAAATGAATCTAGTGCTAGAAAATGACTTAAATATATTTATTTATTTAGGCTATTAATCTTATTCATGCACAGAGCATCAACAGACAGGCAAAGGGAGAGAAGGAGCATGAAACTGTCTGCGATATATACGTCTTATATATGAAACCTCTGTGTTGTTGCTGCATTTTTAAAACACATCTGTTGCCTGCATCCAGGCACTGTTTCCATGTCACACAGTAGAGTACAACTACCAAGAAGAACAGGGATGTGCTATGATCCACCTCACACACAAAATAGCAGCGCAGTGCTGGATTGCACGTGTGCTGTGGTAATTTCATTCATCTCACAGACTGATGTGGCGTAGCACGTGCAACATATAGACAGATGACTTACTGTAGACTAATTAACAGACAGATTAAACAGAGGAGCAGCTCTGAGTCTCTCTGAGTGTTGATGGAGAACTTGTGAGTGAGTGAGTGAGTGAGTGAGTGAGTGGGGCGGAGCTGTGAGAAGAGTTTGAGAGGCCCAACTTGACTCTATATTGATATGAATGGTGTTGTCTTAATTTATATCCAGCAAGAAAATATGTTGATATATCATACGTGGTCTTTATATCGCCCAGCCCTATTCTGACAAAATTTCACATAAATGTCTTATGGGATAAAATGGTGCAATTTTACATCCAAAATTTAGTATATAATATATATGTAATGTTCTGCAAGAACACTTTTTGGCTATGTTTCAGCGCTATAACTCCGGAACAGAAGGGGAGATATTTGCACAGATACTAAATTTGTGTCTCTAATCTTTGGCGTCCACCTTGAAACTGTGCTGATTGTTTAGATCTTCTACGTTGCCGGGTTGAAGATGTGTGTGAAGCATCCATGTTTCAGAACTTCAGCAACATCTATATTTGAAGCATTGTCTACTGTCATGACTTTAAAACGAGTGTTGACTGGTTGTGCGGAGGCATACAACCACAAGGCGTTTATTGTGGTTTTTTACATGCTGTTGAAATGTCACCATTTCCTGCAGTTGCCTGCTTTACTTGAAACTAAGTAATAATGTCTTCTTGTTACAGAAATTTTTATGTGTGTCAGACCTGGCCCGTAAAGACAAGAGGGTCCTCAGCAAGAAATACCAAATCTACTTCTGGTGAGGACGCTGAGAGAAACAAATACTATTGAGGAGTAGAATCAATCACAGTGATACAACAACAAAGACTTATTTATCTTTGTAATCATGAATAAGTCCAATAATTGTCTTCTCTGCAGGAACATTGCTACTATCGCTGTGTTCTATGCGCTGCCAGTCGTCCAGCTGGTCATCACCTATCAGACGGTACGCTGATGAGACATAAACTGTGATATATATGATATGATAAAAAAGATGGCTGTTCAACTGACTCTCTGTTCTGCAGGTGGTTAATGTGACAGGAAACCAGGACATCTGCTTCTACAACTTCCTGTGTGCCCACCCTCTGGGAGCTCTGAGGTACATTGTTAGCACGTGTGTGTTTAGGTAACTACAGTATGGCTACCACATACCTGTGTTTCAAGTATTGTCATGACTGACTCTTAAGTGTTTGTCACACACAGCGCGTTCAACAACATCCTCAGTAACCTCGGTTACGTGCTGCTGGGACTCCTCTTCTTGCTTATCGTCCTAAAAAGAGATATCGTCCACAACCGAGCCCTGGTCCGCAACGATCTCAACGCGCTGGTAAGGCACATGCACAAAGACTGATGTACAGCAGAGACACTGTGAGACACAGATACATTAGCTAGCAATCTGTGTGTCACCCAGTGAAGATGGTGTTCAGCTCAGTTCCTAGAGTGAATAATGATTGTTAATGATCTTGGTAAACAGCAGCCTCAGGCAGCTTATTGCATAAATAAATCATTAACAGGAAATATTAAAGAGAGAGTGCATATCCAGAGAGATACTGTACATTTGGAAAATAGAGTCAAATGTATTATTTATTGAACTTAATTGCTATTATTCACTCAACTGTCCTCTCTCCCACCCCGCAGGAGTGTGGTATCCCAAAGCACTTTGGTCTCTATTATGCCATGGGAACTGCTCTGATGATGGAGGGCTTGCTCAGTGCCTGCTACCATGTCTGTCCAAACTACACCAACTTCCAGTTTGGTAAGACTGCTTGGGCCCTATCTTACACCTGACACAAAGTGTTGCAGCACAACTGTTAATGCAAGTTTCTGACTGATCTATCTATCTATCTATCTATCTATCTATCTATCTATCTGTCTATCTAAGATAGATGTGTTGGTTGTAATCTTTGTTTCTGTCTTTGCAGACACCTCCTTCATGTACATGATTGCTGGATTGTGTATGTTGAAGCTGTATCAGAAGAGACACCCAGACATCAATGCAAGTGCTTACACCGCCTACGCCTGCCTGGCTGCGGTCATCTTCTTCTCAGTGCTGGGAGTGGTCAGTACACACACACACACACACACACACACACACACACACAGGCACACACCACAAGGTAGACGAGGCCTGGGTGATGAGTGATGTTTAACATATGCAAAGATAACACACAGACATTTCTTTGCAGGTATTTGGGAAAGGAAACACAGTGTTCTGGATTGTTTTCTCAGTGATCCACATCCTGGCCACTATGCTCCTCAGCACACAGCTCTACTACATGGGCCGGTGGAGGCTGGGTAAGATCACAGCCACAAACATGAACTCTTTAGCCCCTGGAATCATGATGGTTTATTGTTATAGTGGTGGTCTGTTGTGGCCACTGTGGACACTGACTGCAGCTAACATTTGTCTTAATATCTGCGTCAGACTCAGGGATCCTGCGCAGGATGGTGTACGTCATCTACACAGATTGCATCCGACAGTGCAGCGGACCCATGTACATTGTGAGTAATAACCAGCAGCTGCTGCATTAATATGCGTGTGCGAGTGCGTTCATGGTGTAAAGAAGCAGTATTCCTGCCATCATTCTGAGCTCAAAGGAATCATAGTATTTAAGAGCTTATCTATCTAGTTTTCACCGTCTTCTTGAACACTAGTTGGTACAGAATAACAATTACTGAGTTCAGATTACCTGCTCATAAATCATCTCTCCTCCTCTGTCTGACAGGACCGTATGGTTCTGCTCGTCATGGGAAACATAGTCAACTGGTCGCTGTAAGTAAACACCACGTGTTTCTTCTTTTACTTGATGCTAAGTAGAGACTGTAAACATTTAAATTCACAGTGAAGGACAAAACAACATCATCTTTGAGTCTCTCTCTTCTGCTCCCTCTCCGTAGAGCTGCCTACGGCCTCATAGAGAGACCCAACGACTTTGCCTCCTACCTGCTGGCCATCGCCATCTGCAACCTGCTGCTCTACTTTGCCTTTTACATCATTATGAAGGTGTGTGTTTGCATGTGTCCTTGTTTTTATGTAGCGCTCAGATTTAAAAAAAAAAAAAAAACAGAAAAGTTCTGTTCATCTAAAGCTCTTTTTTGTGTGTTATAGTTGCGGAGCGGTGAGAGAATCCAGTGTCTGGCGTTGGTGTGTGTTTTGTTCACAGCCGTGGTGTGGGGCTTTGCACTCTATTTCTTCTTCCAGGGTCTCAGCACCTGGCAGGTCAGTAACTCACACACGTGAACTGAGAGTCGCACATTGGCTTCGTATTCCTCAAAATACTCAAGTTTACGGTGTGTGTTTCTCTCTTCCGCCACAGAAAACTCCAGCAGAGTCCCGTGAGCACAACAGGGACTGTATCTTGCTTTCATTCTTTGACGACCACGACATTTGGCATTTCCTCTCCTCCATCGCCATGTTTGGATCCTTCCTGGTATGATTATGTTTTGTGCATGTGTGTTTTAGTTCATTTAGACACACAGCATACATGCTTAAAGGACACTCAAATTGAAAAAATCTCTTTGTATTGAGTTGTAAATTTGCTTAACAGCAGCTCCGGTAAAATTACTATGTCTGTCAGTGGAGTTTGGGAGCTTTGAAGGGGGTGTTATAACAGCTTCAGTTTCCTCCTGCAACGGGCTCTCTGACAGCAAAGTAAAGCTGTAAAATAATGTAAATACAGAGTAAACTTAAAATGATATAATTGTTTAAGTAGCCCTTTTTTAGGAGGCTAAAATACATTTTGTGCTGCCCCCATCCACAGCTACCAGACTCCATTGACAGAAACAGTAATTTTACCTCGTCATCCACACCAGTAGGTTGCATTGCTAAGCTTCTGTGCCCTGTAATCCTGTCTGCTTCTCCAAACTGGGAGCTGGGACTGGGACAGTCATCTACTGTAGGTCATACATACTGATATGGATCTATAAATGTGTGTATACAGAACAAATGCAGTATTATATGGAATCTAAATGTGTCTTCAGCGAGTGGTGTGTATATGGCCGAGTGGGAGTACAGATGCGGCTGCCCTTTATATAAATCATTGTAATTGGACTCTGCAAACAGGAAGTTGTTAGTGTACTAACACCTCACCTCTTCTGTTCCACCCCAGGTCCTCCTGACCATGGATGACGACCTCGACACAGTCCAGAGAGACAAGATCTTTGTCTTCTAGATCTGTTGAATCTCCTACGATGAGCTCAGCTCCTCCTCTCTGCCTTATCACCCTCATCTCTCTCCGTTCGCGTCTCCTTTGTGTTTTAAAAAAAAAAAAGAAGCACAGCCAGTAGCCTGTTTCTCCCAGGCTGTACGGCGGGCGCCCCCTCCGCCCGTCACAGCCAATCAGCCAGTCAGGGAAGGGCAGTAGCCCCTCCCTCCACCTGTATGGACACAAACGTGCCAACAAAGAGCCCGAGTTTCGACGTCGAGTGATGTTGAAGTGTTTTGTCCTCTCGCTGCCATCATCAATATATCTGTTGTAATCGATGTTTACTTACTGCTGACGATGAAGATAACAATGTACACATTCGCTAAAAGAAACAGTCCGAATTAACTTATTTTATACTGTCCGCATTACATTTGACCTGCAATGCATTTTGAAATTACTGTTTGTATGCTGTTTATATGCTGTGTGTGTGTTTGTACAGAGGTGTGCGTGTGTTTACAAACATTAACGTGAGAACATGAACTCTGTCCAGTCTGTCAGTGGCCTTTAATGTTCTAATCATGTTAGTCACATACTGTGCTCTGATTGGTCAGATCCTCAAACTAGCCGTCCTTCTCGTCGGAGAACGTTAATAATAATGATGATGATTGTATTTACTTCTCGACTGCCCTCAAGCCTGAATGCTAAGGTATTTTTTGCACTGTACTGTATGAAAAACTGATTTTAATGTCAAATGAGCGGTTACTGAATAAAGGTCTCATTTTCAGATACTACTGATCAGCTACTTCCTGCATGCTCTGACTCTGATCTGATCTGAGTTATCTATGAACCTGAGCAACGTCTTGACAACAGACTGGCACACGTGAGGTTCTCTGTGTAAACATAAAACAGTATGATAATCAGGGTGTGTACCTGACTGTATGCACATGCACTTGCTCAAACAATGGACCACACACACCAGTGCCGGCATATAACAGGATCAGCACACAAGATAAAATATAAAATTAGATTTATTAAAATATTTTATAGAAAAATACAGTATTTATTTACACAAATATATACTGTATGCACAAAATACATTTGTCTCTCTGCCTGCACGTGTTGAGGTTTACACTAATCAACAGCTCACTGTCACTGCTGTGGAATATGGAAAATAAAAGTGGATTAGGTTCAGTTCTGACGGGCTTACACAACAAAAACTAAGAAAATTATTTAAAAATTGTTCACACACAAGTCACTTAGAAAAGCAGAGTCATAAATACAAAAGTCATGAAATGAACTTTGACCTCTGTGCACCTGCAAAGCACAACTTTTTTTTAAGTGTTACGTCCTGGCTGCAGCAGCAAACGGGTTCACAACACGAAGATGAGTCGGATGGTGTCTGGGATGTTTTCAGTAAAGCAAGTACAGGAAGTGAAATAAATAAATCTTCATCTTCGTCTCTAATTGTCTTGAACTTCCCATCTGACATTAAAATAAATGTAACCATTTAAAACATAGGGCCTTGGCCCAAGTGTAAACGTGACACTGAAGTGCTTTCAAAGAAGTCTGGTGTTGCTCACAGCTGTATCTCACGTTGGACGATAAAAGTCCCTCTGTTACATGTTTGCTCCCTGAATTTCCATGTCCTCTGCAGTCACCTCTTTCTCCAATCACAGCAGCGGAGGTCGGTCTTTACCTGAAAGCCTTTGCACTGAAAGTCTGCGAAAAAGGAATGAGTCAGAGGGCACGGGGCGCTCACGTGACGCCCCTGTGTGTAAACGTTGCAATGCTGACATGACACAGCCGTTAATGCTCCAAAGTCCTCAGTGACAGGCACAGTGCAGCAGGACTGGACTGCATGTCATGTCTTCAGTAATGGTAGACTCTGATCTGGTTGTTATCGTCCAGGCCCAGCTGGACCAGGCCGCTCTTTGTTGAAGGGGCCCGATAGCGGGTGAACAGAGGTCTGGAAGGCAGAGTTAAAGATGACAACGGGCATGACAACACTGTGTTCATAAAACACTCTGCTTTGGAGAACAGATGACAAATATGCAGTGGTGGAAAGTAACTTAGTATTATGTGTGATACTTGCACATAGCCAAGGTGCGACCATTTCTAAATTAAAATGATGCTGGGGAACTGATTCATGCCTTTATTTCAAGCCCACTCGACTACTGTGACACACTTTTTACTGGCCTCCCAAAAACACCACTGAGAGACTTCAGCTCATTCAAAACTCTGCAGCTTGGCTATGGACCAGAACCAAGAGGAGAGAGCCCATCAGGCCAGTCTGAGCTGCTCTGCACTGACGTCCTGTCACATTTAGAATTGAGTTTAAGCTCCTCCTCCTTGTATATAAAGCCCTACATGGGCTGGGACCGAGCTACATCCCTAACTCCCTTATTAACTATTTGCCTCCACAAACACTGCGATCATGTGCTGCTGGTTTATTGGAGCCAGCAACAGCCGGAAGATCTGGGATGCAGCCTTTGTCAATTACGCCCCAAAGCTATGGAACACACTATCTGTAGACATCAGGGAAGCTAGCTGGCTAAATATTTTTAAAGAAAGAAAAAAGGTATCTGTTCACTTTAGCCTTTAACTAGCTCTGACTTCCTGATACAGATCTGTGAATGCCTGTAAACGCAAATAAATTGAACAAATAAACTATGATGTAATATTATGGATAAAGATAAGACTTCATTGATCCCTTGATGAATTTAGGAAGCTACCAGGCAACATATATAGTAAAAACAGCTATATTAAAGGTCCAGTTTTCTGTGTTGGTCCTGTGTTCCTCCTGGGTGCACTCTGTGGTCGCTCCTGCATTCATCCCTGTTCATCTGGTTTTTCCCGGTTGGTTTTCAGTTCGATTTTTGTTCTGCTTTTGTTTGTACTTTGAGTTGCCTGCCTGTACTGGATGTTTTCAATCAGCTACATTAAAGCTCGCTTTCTGTTAGAAACTCAGACTGTCCGTTGGTCTGCATCTGGGTCCTCCTCTGAACTGCTCTGACACTTCTGAGAGACTCTGCCTCTCAAATGCTCCTTTTATACCTGGTCATGTCACTGACCTGTTGCCAATTAACCTAATTAGTTGCAAAATGCTCCTCCAGCTGTTTCTGATTAGCACCACTTAGTTGCCCCTGACCCAACTTTTTTGAGATGTGTTGCTGCCATCAAAATCAACACGAGCTACTAGTTTTCATGAAATGGTAAAATGTCTCCATTTCAGCATCTGATATGTTGTTTAAGTGCTATTGTGAATAAAAGCTGGGTTCATGAGATTTGCAAATCATTGCATTCTGTTTTTATTTACATTTTAAACAGCGTCCCAACTTTTCTGGATTTGGGGTTGTGCTACTTTTACTCAAGTTCAAGATCTGAGTTTTTCCTCCACCACTGCAGTAATGTGAAGTAGTAAAAGGTTATCAGACAAGTCAAAAATACATGAATAAACACTGTTAGTAAAACAACTGAAATGTAAGAGGGAGCTTTCTACTTTTCTAGCTAACTAGCAGCAGTCTTCTCAATTGCTCAACTGCTGTTGAACACACACAAACTCTGGCCCCGTCACAGCTCTGGGCATGCATGGACATGTCCATCTCATATAGGCATTTGGAAAAAGTGAAAATGTAGTGTTAAGGCAAAAATGGGAAATATTGATTAAATGTGTGCTAATATAAGAAAGGAAACTGAGAGAGCAAAAAATAGCTTGTGATGGACTCAATACTGATATATATGTGTTGGTGTGTGTGTATGAGTTTGTGTGACAGAAGGATACATGCTGGTGTCTTTCTTGCGCATCTCCAGCCACCTCTTGTTGCCGTCAATCAGCCCCTGCAGCCTCTGGCCGTCTACCTCCGCTGACCTCTGCACAGACCGCATGCTACGACCATGTTCACTTAGATACACATGGACACACACACACAAGTATAAGACAAACATGATCTATAATAACAGCATGATTACGGATGTGTTGCAGGTTACCTAGCAGGAGTGTATGACGAGTATGCGGAGGTCGTCCCCATGGTGAGTGGGTCCATAGCGGCTCCTGGAGAACAAAACAACATGATTGAAACTGACACAACCTCCTTATAACAAGTCCCATTATTGGTGCTTCACTTAATCTAAAGCTAAATAAGGTGTCTGTTGGCATACTGGGGAATATCTGTCTAAATCTGCTGTTGATGAGGTCCTCAGACGGCCTCAGCCCACTGCTGATGGGGGTGCTGAAGAGAGGGGTGGCAGCGGAGGTGCCTTGGGTCGCCCAGTTCCAGGACGGCTCTGAGAGCCTGACTGGAGGAGGTATGGCTGAGGAGCTGGGGCCCAGGGTGTGCATCTGTGGCAAGACTGAGGCAGAGGCGGAGGTGGCGGACATGGGAGCTGGAGATGAGTTAGGTTGAGATAGAGACAGAGGTGGAGGGAAGGCTGTATAAGGTGTGGTGCTCTGTCTCTGGGCCAGTGAACCCAATGCACTCAGCACGGTGTTGAGCTGGCCTGAGATCTGCTGCAGGGACTCTGCTAACTCCTGGACTTTGTCCGGGACTGTGGGGTGACCTCCTGACGAGAGAGTGAGGACGAAACAGAGTGAAAGAGAGGAACACACCCTCAGTGTGGCTGAAAAGATATATTAATCTGATAAAAGCATGACAAATATCAATGTAGTGGGGAAACACCAGAGGCAGGATAAAAACTCAGGATAGAAAACAGTTTTAGATCTGTAAATAAATAGGTTAAAAATAAATAAATAAGTAAAGAGAAGAATGTGCCAACTAAAAAAACAGATTAATAAAAATAAATACACCATAATGATAAATACAAATTTTAAAAAATAAATAATAAAATATAATAAAAGACAGTTCAATTAAAAGCCAGGCTCAACAGGTCGGTCTTGAGTTTGCTTTTAAAAACATCAACACAGTGAATATGTCAGGTCCTTTGATAAAACTCTGAAAATGTGTTACCTGTCCCGTCAGGTGGGTCCACAGTGCTGCTGAGGTCAGATTCAGTCACATCAAAGGTCACCTTTCTCTCTCCTCCCAGCCGAGACAGATCCTGATACAGTGGCTAAACGGAGAGAGCAAGAAAATGAAATGAAAGCCCAATGACAGAGGCAGAAAATATATATTTATTTTAAATGTTTAATTTTTGTTTATAGATTTGTCAAAGGAATTAATTTAGTCACCACCACCCTGAATTTCTCAGCTATGACTATAGGTGGTGGTTGACTTCATGAGGCCTTTGCACTGAAAAGAGAAGAAGTAGTGCTCAACCAAAGTGAAGTGTTACTTTGGTGATGTTTTGCCTCTGACCTCTTCAGCTATAGAGCTCTCTAGCTGCTGGAGTTGCTCCTCTTTCCTCCTCAGGAGAGTGTTTCCCCTCTGAACCGTCCGCTGCAGCTCCACCACATTTCTGGCCTCCTGACAGAACGAGAGAAAATAACCAGCACTTAACACCTGACTCAGATCCACCCCAGTCATCACACTAGTTATAATTCAGCGGGAGCTGGGTCATACTCCTCCCTACCTGTTGGAGGTTCCTAATCATCTCCTCAGTCACCCCTCCTTCCTGGTTGGGGTCCTGGGAGGAGCTGGTCTGGGCCGCCTGCAGAGCTGCCTGTCTCTGCATCAGCCGGCTGCTTTCTCTCTCCAGAAAGACTTTGGTTTTTTGGATGGATGCACCATGTGAGGAGATGTAGCGTCTGAACCTTGACACACAGAGGGGATGAGGGCTGAGGTTAAATACGCACTAGTGTCCAGCTCTCGTTGACTGTCTCCTAAATCCTGAATGTTCTGATCAACAGTGAACCAATAATTGTCATTATTCTTCTAGCCAGCCATGTTGGACCTGCCATTGACTGTCTGTAAACTAAAACGAATCCCAAGGCGTCCCCCAGGGTTCTGAGTTTGGTCCTCTCTTGTTTATTCTCTAAATGCTCCTCCTTTGGAACTGATCACTCCTGATTGGGTCACCTGGGTGAGGGGGTCTGAAGTTGAAAGACCCAAAACCCTCGATGACTCCAGGTACCTCACTGATGATGTGTCCAAGTGCATCAAGAGATGTATGTACCAACCAGGCGTAGCACATGCAACATATAGACTGATGTCGCACTGCAGACTAATTAACAGACAGATTAAATAGATAAACCGATAAATCTATGTCTTAAGTATTGCTGGAGAACTTGTGAGTTAGTGAGTGGGGCTGAGCTGTGCTGACAGTGTGACACAGGTATGCATTATGTAACACAACGTGACCCTATATTGATATAAATGTGTTGTCTGAATTTATATCTTGCCTGAAAATATATCAATATATCTTACATAGTTGTTATATCGCTCAGCCCTATATTATAGTATTATATTATAGTACTGGAGCAGTAGTTGTAGTATCATTCTGTCTGAGTGCCAAATACAGAATACTGGTTCATCAGCTCTCCATACAGGATTTATATTAGCTCTCAGTAACCATTACTCAAACACCGGTAAGAACTGACAACTCTGTGCTGCCCAGAGGCTGAAAACAGACCTATAGTTTATCTGTACCCTTCAAATATCCAGTAGCTAAAACTGTGATTAACAACCACACATTTACTCCCTGTTTTCTGTGTCTGTCTGCTTCTCTCTCCTTACTCTTCCATGCTGCTTTGGCTGTCAGGCACAGGGGAGAGTGGTGGGTCGTCTAGGTCTTCTACATGTAGCGATGAGTCTCTCATGTCACTGGAGGGCGCAGTCGCCTCTGCATTCTTTTTGTCCAGTTTAAATTCTGGTATGGGGCAGGCGCTCCCTCCTTCACCTTGTTCCAGCTCACTATTTGGACAAAATAAGATCATCATGCCTTTAAAAATGTGAACAACTTCTCACAGGAACATTGGAAATCACTGCATTCTGCTCGGTTAAATAACTCCATTGGCTGGAACTGAAGTAAAACCAAAGGATGCGTGGAAACTATACCTGACTCTTTGACTGAGACGGTCGCATCTCTCCTGCAGCAGCGCCACCTTGCTCTCCAGTCGCTCCTTGCTCTCCTTGGCCCTCCTGCACTCTTCCCTGGCTTTGTCTCTCTCCTCCCTCAGCCTCTCCTCCGCTTCCTTGCCCTCACTCCTGTCCTGCCTGGCTCTCTGGAGAAGTTCCCTGGCTTGATGTTTCTCCTCTCTCATCCTCTCCAGCTCCTCCTTCAGCAGATCTCTCTCCTGGATCAGTTGGGGTAAGGCCTGGACACACACACACAGGTGGGGATAAAGGGGGTTGTTAGATGGATAGGTTGGGTAGCATTATTTTTTTGATGAAGAAAAAGCGGGACGTCCTACCTCGATCTGTCTGTCCACTTCCTCCTCTTCCTCCCCTAGCTTCTTCCTCCTTCTTTTCAGATCTGCTGCCTGCAAAGAGACAGAAGCCATCAGTCCACGTGGTTTAGACTAGTGCATCAGTGATTTATGGTACATACAGTATAGGATAGAATACCTTGTTCTGAAGCATGGCCTCCTGACTCTTTAGTTCTTTGGCTCTCAGCTCCATCTGATTTGCCAGATCCTCCAGTTCTGACTCCTAACAGATAAGATAAGACATTTTTATTCTCTGGAAGACAGTGTCTGTTATTTCAGAAAATGACCATCATGGAGGGGAAGCTCCTGGACCAACTGGTGGTACTCCCCATGATCCACCCTCTTTTTTAGAGTCTCATGTAGTATAGCCCTGTACTGTTATAAAATGTGTGTGTGTGTGTGTGTGTGTGTGTGTGTGTCTCTGGTCACACCTTGCGTGAGTGTGTCAGCTGTGTCTTTTGTATCTGCGTGTTGAGCTGCAAGCGGAGTTTCTCCAGTTGGACAGCATGTGAGGCCTGGAGATGCTCTCTGTCCTCCTGCAGAGAAGAAAGCAAGCGCGCCCTCTGGTCAGTCTCCTGGAACACACACACACACACACACACAACATTTTATTATTGCCATTCAAAACAGAAAATAAAAAACATATTCTTCTGTTCGCACTGATGCAAGTAAAGAACGAGGGCGTGAAACAGGTAAATGTAAAATTTAAACACCAGCTAAACACACTGACCTCATCCAGGTATTTCTCTCTGATGCTGTTCATCTCTCTCCTGTGGTCCTCCCTCAGCTGCTCCAGCTTCCTCTCATGATCACGCTGCACTTCCTCCCGCACTTCTTGAAGAACATCAGCCAGCTGAAAGGTGACACAGCGAAAGTCAGTTTACAGTACAACAAGTTACATTCCATTGAAAAAACGAATTAAAAGAAATACACATAATGATGACGTAATAGTTATCTACAGAACATGTGTGTGGGTGTGTGTGTCCTCTAACCTCTCGGTGGTACTCTGCTAGTTGCTGTTCAGGTCGTGGGCTCATGAGGTCCCTCCGCCTCTCTGTAAATTTAACCTTTGTACAGACAAAGCAGTGCAAACACTCAAGTCCAATGCCACCATGTACCACAGAAACAGAGCAAACACAAACTTCTGGTTCTTGCGCTTCTCAGTTGTGTCTTTAATTAACACATTAACAGTCGAAATATTCAGAGTTTATATCCTGTTTATGTCTTTCCGTAAGTGCTTTACTTCCAAAATAAAACACTTGATAGCACCATCATAAGAATTCTTGTCCTTGCTGCGTGTTGTCAAGAACTGACAGGAAATAACCAAAAACTGAGCTGTACTGAAGAGAGTAACAGGAACACGAGTCAATAAACTTGTGTAAAATGACATATAGCGACCTGCCAAGTTGGCTTCAGGCTATGTTTTACATATGAAAACTGGGATCCAAGCCAATGTGCCAACCTGCTCACACCATGTGGGTCAAGAACCCCATGAGTCATTTGTTTTTCACTCCAGTTTACTTACTAGCAGTGACACTATTTGAAGTTTGATTTTTTTAAACAAATGTTTGTCAAGCTGTTTGTTTATCTTTGTTATTCCTGAAAGTCGTGTTAAGCTTCAGTTTGTTCGGAGATATCACTCATTAATCAAGCAGAGAAGCGTTCACAAGGTGGTCAAGCCAAGTGCAGTTACAAAAAGGTTGCGACCAGGTGCCAGATCTAAAGCAGCGAGCATCCATGAGACACAGCGCCCGAAAAACACAAATATAGCAAGCCGAAACGGCAAACAAGAGTAAATCTGAAGCTGGCTTTTACTTCCACTCCTTCAAACACTGACTAAATAAAACTGAAATAAAACGAGCCGGACACAAGCAGCATCCATCCAGCATCATCTTCAGTCACCTCATGTCTCAGGGAGTTCAGCTTCTCCTCCCTCTCCTCCTGGAGTCTCCTCTTCTCCGCCTGCATCTCTTCTTCTGACTCCGCCTTCAGACGTTCACTGTCCTGCCTCTTCTGGGCCTCCAGTCTGTCGCGCTCCGCTTCTCGCTCTTTCTCTAGAGTGACACGTAACTCCTTCAGCGTGACCTCGCTCTCCTCCCTGAGCACAGGACACACACACATCAAGGTTACTTTGGGGGTTTGGAAGGGCAGATAGGTGTGCTCTCTCTGCCTTAAGGCTTTCCGTGTTGGCGCATGGAAGGGCAGGAAGGTTTGGAGGTAGGAAAAGGCAGAGGCCCCAGAACAAAGCCATATCGCCAAATATAATACTGCAAATGGAATAGTTTTCTTTGACTAAAGTGTTCCTGATTGAATTAGTACTTTACTTAGCCACAGTCGCTAGAAACAAAGGAATACTTTGCAGGTCGGCTGAGCTGTTACCTACAGTCTTTGCAAAGCTCTCTGTAGATTTCAATCACCCATCTGATCAGACTTTACGAACAAAATCTTAATATTTAAAGTGTGTACTGCAGATTCACTTTGAGAACTACTGCTCTGGTGCACATTTGTTTAATGTGTTTGTGTGTGCGTCTAACCTGAGTTTGTGCTGCTGCCTCTCCCTCTCCTCCTGAGCAGACTCTCTGAGCTCCTCCAGCATCCTATCAGACTCCTCATTCAGCCTGGCCTCCTCCTCTCTCCTCTTAGACAGCAGGCGCTGTCTCAGAGCCCTGGGGAGAAGCGCATACATGTGCATTTGTTTTAGTCAAATGTATGTGTACTTAAGCAGTAAAATGTTGGTGTTATACTCTCCTCCTCACCTACCTCAGTCTTTCCTCGCTTTCCTCCTTCAGCTTCCTCTCCTCCTCCTCCTCTTCCCTCCTCAGCTCCTCCTGGAGGAGATGCATTCTCTTCTCCTACTCCTTCATCATATGCTCCCTCTCCTCCTCCACCTCTCTATCAGCCTTCCTCCTCTCCCTCTTCCTCTCCTCCTCCTCCTCTTCCCTCCTCAGCTCCTCCTGGAGGAGATGCATTCTCTTCTCCTCCTCCTTCATCATATGCTCCCTCTCCTCCTCCACCTCTCTATCAGCCTTCCTCCTCTCCCTCTTCCTCTCCTCCTCCTCCTCCTCCTCTTCTTCCTTCTCTTTGTCTTTACTTATTCTCCAGCTTGTTTCATCTTCCAGGAGGCTCTCTTGGTTTTTTAAGGGAGGTTCAGCATCCTCAAGTTGGGTGTTGGAGGAACGGACCAGCCGACCTCTGGAGGTCTCAGGCCTTTGTAGACCCAGAGGCATGCCGAGGCTCTCAGTTTTTGGATGGAGCCCGATGTCTTGTTCTGAGTGGGAGAGGCTAAAGAGGGAGGGCGAAGGGCTGGACTGGTGGAGGACGAGTCGGTCAACTTTCGGAGTTGGAGGGTTGTCTTTGCCAGCAGCCTGTGAATGCCTGAAAAGGGAGAAAGCTGTTTTACTGATACAAAGTTCAAACTGAAAATATCCTGCACACAACTATCAGTGTAATTTCAATAATGGACACGAGTATATTTCCTGACTGTCTATGCCCTTGTTTTGACACAGTAGCTGTATGTTTCACCAATATTAATCTAATAGTGGGTCTTTTAGGGCCCTGACACACCAAGTCACTGGACGTTTGTCAATGTCGAGACGTCAATGAGCATCTGTCACTCAAGGTTTTGTGGTGTTACCCACAACACTGGCACTAGTCAGCCATTCTTGGCTGCTTTTTGGTCAGTCCAGCTGTTTGAATCAGTGTCGGAGATGTCGGGTGCCCAAGAGTGCACGAGAGGAAAAATGGAAGTGAGGAAAGCAAATAAACATTTATTTTTTGTAACTGAGGTGTTTAGCAGAAACATTTCTTAACTGTTTGTGTTTTTGTTCACTATTGTTTGTTCTAAGTAGCATCTTGAATCTGTCCACTCAGTCTTCCAGTTTCCCTTTTTTGAATGACAAATATAGACTGCAGCTACCTGCTGGTATGGAGAGTTACCTCCTCTCACGCAGGCGCACAACTTATGTGCTAGTTGGCCGTTGGCTGAAGTCTTTGCGGTGTGCTCAGTGCAACTTTTCGGTTGAGATACAGGTGATGTGAGCTGACGCAACAGTCAGTGTCTGTTGCCTCTAGGTCTTGGATGTCGATTTGGTGTGTCTGGGCCTTTACAGAGAAATGCTTGGTGCCTGACAATTTTCACAAGCAACAACTTCACAGCTGAAATCACTGTTAAAATAAAAACAGCCGAATTCATCGGAGATGTTGGAAGAAATTCGATCAACAAGGCCTCTAAAATTAACTTCCAATTCTTTGTGAGACCTGATAAGAACACGGTGCAGCTTAGTCTGAGCATTATGAAATCAGCTGCAAACCTCTTGGGAGCTTCTGCCTTCTTTGTTTTTGCCCCCTCTTCCTCTTTTGTTCCCTCTTTGTCGTCTCTCTCAAGTGGAGTGACAGTGCCGGACAGGTCGTTGATATCCAGAACCTTCTCCGACAGCTTAAGGACACAAAACCAGAACCATTACAAAACCAGTTGCAAATAAACAGTTCTACGTGTGGTGTCACACTGCATTATCAGATTACCTTGACATCTATAGAGGATGAAGCTTCCTCTATGTTCTCACTGGCCTCAGACTCCTGCGATAACACACACACAGTCAACAACGAGGCAACAGTTCTGAATGAACACACGCAAACAAAATTGCAGAAGCCAAACTAAACATCGAGGCGTGCTGTCCTTTCCAAAGAAACACACACAGCAAAAGGCAAACAGCATAGCATGCATGCAAACATACACAAGGCTGGCAAATTGGCAGCCATACTGTAAAACCGGACAGTCAAGCAATCTGCAACTGAAGCAAGCAGACTCTGAAAAGTGGGGGAGGCGATGGCGGGAGATGAGAGAACTGTGTCTGGTCAAATGATGCTCAAAATTAACCGCCAACCTAATAGCAGATAGACTACCAAAAGCCTGTACTGTCGATGGGGAAAAGGGATCAGAACTTTCCAATCCAGTTCTCAGGGGCTCAAATGGATTCTCAAATTCCAGCGTGCCAGTGATGACATTCAGACTGGGAGCCCCTAAGGAGTTGGATTCTGGGAGCTACATGCACCTGCTTGCAGTGATCAGGCATGATCAGGGCTGGGGTCGGGTAGTGAATGTCAGGGAGGGGGTGAGCACGCACAGAGGCAACACCGAGCCCTACCTCTGCAGGAAGGGGGTAATTATTTGTCACATCCTTCATCCTGCCAGCAAGAGTTTTTCTCTTTTGGTCAAGCGTTTTAAGGTCACTGGTGCTGAGTTCGGCTGGTCGGACTTGAGCCGTTCCAGTCTCAAAAACCTCGACGACTTCCTCCTCGCTCTCTGGTGCAGTTTGGGGCTTACAGGCATCTGATTCGTCATCTGCCTCCAGTCCCTCCCCCTCTGTTTCTCCTCCTTCGCTCTGTACACATCTCTCCAACACCTCCTCGTCACTCTCTGATTTCCTCTGGCTAAGGGAGCATCTCTCCAAAGCCTCATCATTCTCACCCTCCTCCTCCTGCTCCTCCTTCTCTTGCTCTCTTTTAAAATTCATCTCCACCTCCTCTTCCTCACTCTCGTGCCCGTCATCGTCATCAAAGCTTCCCTCAAGCTCATCCTTGTCTTTGTCATTTTTGTCCTCTTCCTCACTCCCTCCATCTTGATCACTTTTGAAGCATTTCTCTACAACTTCATCGCTGCTTTCCTCCAAACTGTCTTTTTCTTCTTCTGCTATCACCTCTTCCTTCACTTCTTCTTTCTCCTCCGTTAAACTCTCCATTGCCTCATCACCCTCCACATTCTCGTCTTTCTCTTGTGTCTCATCCTGCTGGCTTTCAACACAACTTTCCTCATCACTGCCATTTTCCTTTCTTTCAATGCTCCCCTTCTTCACACTGTGTTCAATGTTTTCTGACACTCTACCTTCCCCTTCATCTATCTCCTCATCGCTGCCTTCGCAGCATTCCTCCTCTACCTCCTCCATCTCTACCTCTTCCTCTTCTTTCTTGCTTTCTATAGACCCCTTACTTCCTCCCGGCTTGTCGTCTACCTTGTCCCCCTCTTCTTTGCTTTTTCTCTCATCTGCTTCCTCATCCTGCACCTCTCCATCTTCCAGCTCGTTTCCTACCTCTTCTTTCTCATCCTTCCCTCCCTCCTCTGCCTCCCCTCCTCCTCCTTCATCCTCTCGCGTCTCTCTCTGAGCATCCTCATCTTCCTCCCCCTCCTCCTCCTCCCCCTCCTCCTCTTTCACGATATCATTTAACTCCTCTGCCACCTCCTGTTCAGTACCAGCCCCCTCCTCATTGATGTTGTTTCTGCTGCCCGCCAGCGAGGACAGGTGGAGGTGGCGGCCCCTCAGGGAGTCCTTGGTGGAGGGTAAGAGGATGAACAGTCCATCCATCCCAAACAGAGGCACAAAGGAAGGCGTGCAGAGACACAAGGGAGAGAAAGGACGGAGGAAGGCATGTGAGGGAAGGAGGCAGAGGAAAAGATTGTGACCCCCGCTGAAAGACGGTGGGGCGGGTGATGATCTTGACACAACTGCATGCAAACCCGACGAATCGTGCATTTTGCAAGGACATAACTATTCATGTTAGACAACTAACGCATGAGAAATACATTAGGCAACAAAACATATGCATGCAATTACAGAGAAACATACACATTTTCAGGGTCTGGGTCTCTCAAACACTCAAACACAGGCGCACACACGGGAGCAGGTTTGTTTCATAAATGTCATTTCTTTGTTTCAGCGTTCCAAAAAAGCCATAACGTCAAAAAGAGATCGCTGAATCTATCAAATCAGTCCCATTAAATCACTGGGACACTGTAATTTTGAAACAAAGAATAAATGCATTACCTACTTTAATAAGTAGATAATGTACAAAAACAGGACTTCTCAGATTCTAGAGGCGAGAGGCGGGGAGTATCGGGGTGGATAAATACACAAGTCAGAGGGAAATGGTGGTGTTCACTGTTTCGAGGGTGACGTCACAAGCTCCTGATACATAGTTTCAGACAGCAAAGCAATAACAGTGACAGTAGGAAGACAGTAGGACAAAGAGGAAGACACAGTGACAGCCGTGGCCGTAGGACAGATCCCAGCAGCACAGCAGCTACACGGACACATTCCCAGGTCATGGTGCAAACGTGAGAGGTTTAAAGGTGAAAGAGGTCGTACGAGACAAAGAGAAGAAACAACAGATGGTTTAGAAACACAGTTACATGAGACAACAAGAGAAGTCCACTGTGGTACTGATGACTGGGAAACAAGTAGGCCTACCCCAAACTTAGACGTAGGTGCATATTACCATCTATATCCAACATTTTGCGTTCCACAACAATCCTGTTTTAATGTGTTATGTATGTGTCCATGTCATGTTGATCTTTCCTTTAAAAAATCATACAGCTTTAATTTGAAGGAGTACATTAACTATAAGGAACAAAACATTTACTGTGAACAAGCCTCCTCATGTTTAGAGGAGACTCGTGGGTGCCAATAGAACCCATTTTTATTCGAGTATCTTGAGGTGAGAGATAAAGGGACCCGTCTGGAAATTGCTATGCCAGTTGTTGCCTTGCCCAGATTAAGAGCGTTATTTAGCCCACTTCTCAACAAGCTATGCTGTTATGGTTGATACAAATGGATGCCTTTGGTTGTCTAGTTTCACAGGATACCACAACCTTCGTGCTATCTTAAAAAATTTGCTTGCCACAGCCTGCCTTAGGCTCTTACATGTATATTTTAGGTCCCTATGTGCCCCCTAAGAACACAGACATGGCAGAACAAGCAAGAAAGACACAAGCTGGGAGCCAGTGTGTGTGTGTGTGTGTGTGTGTGTGTGTGTGTGTGTGTGTGTTTACCTGTTGGGATGGTGGTTCAGGGCTGTGGTC